CAAGCAGCTGCATGTTTTAAAACCCTAACTGAGGCTGTGCAGGGAGATAAAGTGGAGTATGCAGGGATTGGATGTGGTAGCAGTTGTGAAAAAAATTAAAGTTGGGCATCTTTTGCATCGCCTGTTTTTTCAGGGTGTAACTCCAGTCAGATTATCTCCCCATGCCCTACTTGGGATTGTGTTCCTGTAACCCACTTTACCTTGCTCTGGCCCAGAGCACTGAAGGCAGGGAGCTGTGACCAGAGCACGCAGTGGGATGTAGTTTCTAGATTTCTTTCAACATGGATGCTGTGTTATGGCTTTTTTTTTTTTTTTTTTTTTTGTTTTTTTTTTTTTTTTTTTTTTAGCTTTTATTTTTTTGTTTGTTTGTTATGGAAAAACCTGAAAAGTTGAGTCGTTCCCCAAATTAGCAGCTGTTAGTGATGAGAAGCTGCTCACTGAGGTTGGAGCCGAGAGGTGTATAAGATTAGCTGTGGCATGGAGCTGTGCTGGGACCATGTGACTGCGGTGTACATTGGAAGAGGAAGCTGTAGAGGTCAATGCAAAGGCATTGTGCCAGACTCTGGCAACAAGGGAGATTGCTATATGGCGGAAGATCGCTTTTTCAGGCTCCTGAGCCTTTCGGTAGCTCTTCGGGTTGGACAAAAGCGGCTCTGTAAGATTAACAGGAGAATTTAAATATGGAATGGCTCATTTGTGGATGGAAAGAAAACCTGTTTGTTTTTTGTTGGTTTTTTTTTTTTCTCCAAATGCTTTGTAGGTTTTTATTAATCACCATATGTGTCTCACTAAAACCACCTTTATTGGAATGGAAATTGTTGTGTTGAGAGGAGTTTCAAGAAAACAGGGAAAATGGGGAAAAAAAAAAAGTTGCGTGTTCAGTTATATCTGCCTTGATGTTTTCTCACAAAACTAAATTTTAAGCACTTTGATTTGACAGAGAATTCAATCTGTTTATTTCCTCTCTGAATGCAAACAGATCGACAGCTTCAAGTTTAGATTATTGACTACTGAGGAATAAATAAAACCAGCTAATGCTTAGGCCATTTATGCTCTTTCAGAATATCTTAATATGAACGGGTAATTGTTGGTAGGTAGAAAATTTTTGTTGGTGTGATGTGTTTTACATCTGACCTCTTGGAAACTGAAAATAATTGATTCCATAAGAATTTGAATTTTTCACTTTAAAACAACATGAACCTCTAATACTCAACACTGCCCACAAACTGAGAATTTCCATGTTGTTTTTTTGTTTTATGAGCAATTATTCAATCTGTGACTTTTTGCAGTTTGGCTGGAAGGAAGGCAACTTCCTTTCTGGGCTTCTTTTATTGTTTTTAAATTGTATCTGACTTGTAATCAACAACATCTTGGTAGAGAAAACATAAAAGAAGACATTAAAAAAAAATGTATTTGGGAGGGAAGGACTCATATTTTGAAATGGAGCATATTGAGAGTCTAGACAGCTTCTTGGCTAGCTGTGATTTTTGAAGCATCTGAAATACCCCAGGGGCAGAAAAAGCTCTCTTCCTGCTTCTGAAGGATTAAAAAAAAAAAATAAAATCCAGAGTGGGCAAGAGGAGAGACATGTAATTGCACAAGGAGAGGTTTTAATTGTGAGATGAAGGCGTAGGACCTTTTTTGAAGCCCACAAATTGACTGTCTTCATGACAGCATTGCGTATCATTCTGTGAACTCCGGCTCGGGATGTGGTTGCTAGGCAGCGGGCTCTTATGTACCTATAGTCTCTCTGATTTGCCAGCCTTCTGCAGACACATGGTAAGGTCCTTTCCAGCCTATCATCTAGAGGGACTTCTGCACGCCTTCTGCATACTGCTGAGATTCTCTCTACCTGAATGTGATGAGAAAAAGACACAGTTAAATGAAACCTTTTTTCTTTTTTTTTACAAATCCCATTCTGGTACTGTTTCCAAAACCCCCCCCCTCAAAAAAAAAAAAAAAAAAAAAAAAAAAAAAAGCCATGAAACGGAGACCGGAACAAGGAAAAGAGGTTAGTGGGTTAAGTGGTGTGTGTTTCCTGCGTTTGCAAAGGTGCCTATAGTGAGAAGGGCGGCTGTAATTCGGCCATTAGTTACAGATGGTGGCTGGAGGCTTGAGATTCATGCAGCGAGATGAGAGCTCTTGTATCTCTTTCCAGTGATGCCGACTTTAAACTGCTTTGAAAACCTGAATCAAGACGGCATTAAAAAATAGTGGATTTGATACTTAGTGATGCGGCCAGCTGGTTCCTTTATGTATTTTAATGCAGAAATGCCTAGAAATGTGAACAAAAAGGAGTTAATTTGCCAAATCAGGTTTCTGTCCCCCAGTCCTTGCAAAAATGGCATTAATGGCAAGTAGGTAAAGAACATGAAGGAGGATTTAAAAGCAAATTAGATTTTTCAAAACTTTGCTCTTTGAAGCAATTTGTATACAACTTTTGGAGAAGGTTATGTCTCTCAGGTGGTGAAGGGAGAGCATTAAACAGATCACCCCGGGGACTGGCAGTGGCATAAGAAATATTTCTGAACAGCATAACTTTTAATGTTTTTCCATTCTTTAACTCTGAAAGCTTTTGCTCCTGTTGTATGAATAGCAAACTCAACCTTTGAGATACGCGTTTTTCAGCGGAAACTTAGTTATAGTTACTTCATGAGGCAAACCCTAGTACTATAAATGAAGAAACTTAATTGGTGGAAACAGTATCGCACATGCAGTTAACCTCTGCAAATTAAGACGTGAAAAATACTGTTTCAGACTGATTCATTTTTGTCTTTCACTCTGCTTACAGGTACTGTTTGATGAGTGTGAAAGGATGCTTCACTGATTTTCATATTGATTTTGGAGGCACTTCAGTGTGGTATCACGTTTTCCGTGGGGGGAAGGTAGGTGAATCTTGTTTGATATTTATTTTTATTTCTCTGTGCCTATTATGGAAGGAAGGGTTTGCTTTCTTTTCTTTTTCTTTTTTTTTCCCCCGTCTTTTTTTGGGGGTGGGGGGGCTAGTCAGTGATCAGTCTGTTTCAGCTAGCTTTGTTGATATACATGCAGTTAGCTGAACTGGAAGGACACCATTCACCTTTATGAAACAAAGGGAGTGATTTATTTGAAATATCAGATGTTTTATTTGTTGGTGGTAGTGTGTTTAGGCTTGTTATTGCTGCACGGTTTAGAAGTGTTGTGCAGTGAATACGTGGCTGTGTGTACCCTTGTTGGGTCAGAGTGCCCTCACAAGTCTCCTTCTGCAGCTAGAGCTTCTGTTTCCTTTTTAGAGATTCCATGTTCCTTTAGTGTGCACATGCACGCTATGCTTGAACTGAAATATTACAGGATAGAGCGTTAAAATATACAGCTTGCATGGCTACATTCACATCTTTATTGGTTTAGGTTGCTTTTCCCAATTCTATTATAGACAGCGTATGACGGGAACTGAAATAAATACAGCAGATTGAATATCTCTGTGGTACAGATACTGTCCATCTATATAGTCCAACGAAGTTGTACTATACCGATGCATTGTTTTGAACTGAAAGCAAACTGTGCAGACATCTTCTGAGTAAGATGTTTCATTAAAGAGAGATGACAACTGGCAGTTACCTTGCCACTTGCAGCGCATGGACTAATTGCTGCTGCTGTCTGTTGTGTGCCCCTGTGTACAGCACCTGGAAAACGTGTTTTATGCAGAAAGCAGGCTTGGTGTTACGCATTCGTTTGTCTAGCACATGATAAACTTGTTGGAATTTCTCAGCTATTTATTTTTGTTGGCTGTTGGTAATGGTTAAATCTTTGTTTTATTTTTAGATCTTCTGGCTGATTCCGCCTACTCTGCAGAATCTAGAACTTTATGAAGAATGGGTTCTCTCAGGAAAGCAAAGTGATATCTTTCTGGGAGACAGGGTGGAACGATGCCAAAGAATTGAGCTGAAACAAGGCTATACATTCTTCATTCCTTCAGGTATCACTTTTTAAGTAACTGGTTTTGGAATCACTGGAATTGTTTGACTAATGGTTCTCTGTAAAACAGTCCTTCACTTCTAAACCCAGTATTGACCTCTTTATTTACTGTGGCAAAATGAAGGCAAGGGACTGAATGCAGTTAATATTCCAGAAATTGTCCCATCCAGACTGTTGAAATATGTACTGTGAGGAAGTGTGTGCAGTGATTGCTTGTGCTGTACTGGGGTAAAGGAGAGAGGACTTGGGTCTCTGCAGCTGTCAGTCTGCTACTTCTCGGCAGTCATACTGACTTTTGCTATTGTTAGCTTTCTTGGAAAAAGACTCTTCTGTTTTTGTGATCTCTTCTTGCAGGTTTCACCTGCAGTTTAGTAACCTACTTCTTTGCCTCTGTCTATAGCCAGAGGTGGGTCTTGATTCCCTGATGGAGCTCAGTGGAGATTCCAATACATGGAAGAGCAGGCGCTGTGCTCCCTCAGGGTTGCTACTTGGAGAAACAACTTTATTTTACTTGTCATAACTCTTCAGAACTTCTGCTGGTGGAGATTGTGCTCAATCTGGACATCTTCCAGTAGCCCAGCCACACTTAATTTTTATTGCCCACCTCAGTAGCCACTTTGTGTGATTCAGGCTCTTCTTGCAAAGCAACCAAATAGTTGCTGCTTTGAAGGCTGGTGACTTCAGGCCTTTCTGCTCCTGCCTAAATTGGATTAAGGGTGATTCAGTCTGTAACACTTCTCATTTAAGATGATACCAGGCTTTGCTCTCTTTGACTATTGTGGGACCGTAAGTTTGTCGATAGTGATATAACACGTTGCCTCTGTCTAGCGGATCTTACCAAGGAAATAAATATAGGTAGCCTTTCTATGTGACAGAAAGACAGGTTGGTAGTTGTTCAGCTCTAGAATTACTATGTGGAGATAGGATTATTATTTTTTAATCCTGGAGACGGAGAGAATGCAGGTCATGCGAAGACAGCAACAATATTCTTGCCAACTAGGGAGCATTATTAGTATCAGCTGAAGGCCACAAATTTGTACTTTTGTAAGTATTTGGTAACAGTCAGCCTAGGAGGTGATGGGCAAAATGACTTTGAGGGTGGAGGAGTTAATCCATTAAAGGAATTGGGTCTTCCCTTGAAACAGGTCAGGATGTGCTGTTACTGTTTGAACTGGGTGTTTGAGTGTGCCTGTGCTGTTTGCTTAGATCCCGTTACTGCATCTTCCTATTTATCTTCATTCCCCTGTGAATAGCCTCCTACGAATAAGACTTTCTGTATGTTAGTTTAGTCATGCTCAGCAGCTGGAATACAGCAAGTTGTGGGAGCTTGTGCAGGACATAACTGTAACATGGTGGCTGAAGCGAAGCAATTCCAAATGTGTTTTTTGACTGTAGTTTCTATTTTCTTAGGAAAGCCCAAAGTACAGAAATGCCAATACCTCAGACGTTTTAGGCTCCATGCCATATTTAAAAGGCATATATGAATAATTTTTCTCTAAGCACCTCATGGATTCAACTCTGCTGTATTTTGTTTGGAAAACTTATTTGCAAATCTGTTATTTATGTGAAAGGGCATTATTTCTATGTTTGTTTTAAAAGTATGGAAATGCCTAATTAAAGGCTGTTCCAGGTCAGTGAATTGAGTATGGCTGTGTAAACCAGGTCAATTCGTACGACCTCTTTGCTCTGGTTTGTGCGCGTATTGCATTATTAATGTTTGAATGTGTTTTGTATGTACTTTATAAGTGTTCATAGTGTTTAGGTTCTGACAACGGATACCTGTAAAACCCATACTTTAAATTGAACCTGATAAACTCTTGACTAGCCTTAACTCATTTATGAGGAAAATACCTTCTAATTACAGGTCTGGTCACAGAAAGTGTAGTATGATACAGTGCTCAGCTGAACTGTGGATGTAGAACGTTTCAGCAAAGGACCTTTTTCATAAAATATCCTGCTCTGCTCCTGTTTTCAAGTAATTTTTGGGGGTGGTCTTAGAAATGATACTATACCATCGAAGTGTAAGGATGAAATAGGTAGAGAAGGCTGTAATAAGACACACGAGGAAGTGAGATCATAGGCTTGTGTGAGATGGAAGGTTTCCCTGAGAATCTAGGATCAGCAGTAGATCCAGTAAATCCCTGAAATTACAAACCACTTGGACAAGAATGGAGATTATTCTTACAGAAGGCATAATTATAGTGCTCACCAGGGCCTTGGGATGTTTTCCTCTCCATCGCTGCAATCATCCTTTCAGGATTAAGTTTAAACCAGCCAGTTTCTACCTGTGCTTCTAACTCTGCAAAGCACTAAGAGGCATGATCACAGCTGTGGTATCAAGGAGAAATTGAGTAAAGTATTGTTAGCATAGTGAGTCGTTATGGGCCAAGGCATGTCTTGCAACATTTTAGGAGTCTCTCCTAAGTATGGGGTGAGGGGGATACTGTTTCTGGGCCCTTGCGTAGGAGTCAAGCTGTACTCCTGATGGCCCCATAGGACTTCTCCAAACAAGTGATGCACCGTTACAAGTTCTCACCTCCTACTTTACCGGTTCCCACTGATGAGTCAAGGATGATCAGCTCTGGTAAAGTCTGTGGTAAAGTGATAAAATAATCTAGGAATCTGGCCTTTTCCTTTAATATAATTGTCTAAACTGATGTCAGCATAATTGTTGATTGAGAGATATACCACATTGTACCTTGCTGAGGTATATGGCCAGATTTAGATTCAAGATACTAGAACAGCTGAAGGTTCAAGAAGGGAGGAAGCTATAGTTGCTACCTGTGTCAGCGAATAATTTTTTTTTTTCTGTAGATATCTTGAGTGTTGTTTTACCAGGATGGGAGAGAATTTGTCCCTATACAGGAAGACATTAGTAAAGAATGGTACAGCCCTGGGGTTTTTGCACTGTGTATGTTTCCATGAGCAATGTTTAATCTTTCATATGGTTAAGTGTTCAACACAGATGAAATCTGGTCAAGGTAACGCATCTCACTCTGGTATAGTGGATGCTGCATATCTGACCCACTTGCCAAACAGAAGGGAAGCTCTTGTAGAGTGTGCTTCTCTTTTTCAGGTGTGACCTGGAAGAGGAAAAGCATAATTGTAGTGCTTGGTTATTGTCTCAGTAGGGAAACAACAAAATTTTACCAGTCACAATCAAATCTAGAGCTTATCCAGCAGCTTTCTTCTGTACCGTGTGTGTGTCCAGTGATAACTTGGAGGGAGGATGTGTGAAGTGTTTGGAGTCCATCGTGGTGGTGTTGTGGAGAAGTTGTTTAGTTAACTTTCATCACTGTGCTAGGGACATGCAGAACCAGTATTGGGGCAGAATCCCTCAGATTTCTACAACTCAGTATTATTCTGGGCACATGGTTGTCTGCAGGCACTTGTTCTGTTACATCCTGAGTGCTCCTCTACAGCCTGTTTGAAAAACTGCTCACTGAGTTAATGCCAATGATGTGTTATGTTACACAGTTTTCTAATATCTTTAGTGCTTCTCCTTTTACTTTAAGTATTTTTCTCCTTTTACATTCCTGCATAACTTCACCGGAACCTTTTCTCTCTTCTCCTCTTGCCCTTCACCTGCTACTCCAATCTTTATGCTCTATAAATCATCATCTATCCTTGCACTTGTTTTTTGCAAGTGGTGCATTATGCATCGAATTCCCTTCTGTCTTGATTCTCTGAACATCATGTTAGTTTCTCTTGTGTACTCCTAAACATCACTGCTGTTACCTAAACCCAAGTTCAAAACTAAGCATACACAAAATGAAAAATTCATCCCTTTTCAATCTACTTGCTCTTCTGAGTCTTTTAGTTTTGCTGAGTATGTCATTTTGATTGTAAGTGATGGAGCTCTGACATGGATATTGTACTTCTCCTCCCTTCGCTGTTGTCCTCTAGAAACAAGATCTTGCAGTTTGAAGTATGTTAAACTTTTTTGCTTTTTTCAATTTCCTGCCAGACCTCTCTTTCAAAAAAAGGATCTTTTTCTTCCATGGGTGTGTATATATGCTTGGTGTGGACACTTGCACTTGAAATTCAAGAGAGTTTGCACGTGTAAAATTGGGACATACAAAAGCAGGCCAACTAGAAGTCTCTTGTGGAAAATTTGTCTTGCAGTATTTGTCTTTCGTTAATACTGTGAGGTAAGAGTATAATCGTTATGTGTCTTGAAAAAGTGAACTCAAGCCAGTTACGGATTGTTACTGATAATGTAGTCTGCCAGAATATGGGTGAACTTGGCTTTTCTTCTCTTTTTGTGAAAACTGGTTTTGCTGGCCTCCAAGGAAGTTGCCACACTTACTGTGGATACAGCCTGATTCCAGGGTTTGCAGTGTGATTGGTCTACAAAGTTTGCAAACATACTGGTTTTGGTTCCTTTGGGAGGAGATGACTAATACTACCAAGGGTTACTCTAATCATCCTCTGTTTCTTACAGCCTTTTTCTGAGCCTCTGTTGCTGGTCAGAGGCAGTAGGCTCATGAGCAGGTATGCTTTTGGGTTGACTCTGCATGGGTGTTCTTGCTGTAGGCTTCCCAAATACGTAGCTTTAATGTGCCTACACTGAAGAGATGAGATGATGTGATGTGTGTGAACTGGTAGTTGAGAGAGCTGTGTTTGTAGGGGAGCACAAATCCTCAAGTAGTTGGGCCATTTTGGGTGACTTTTGTCTATTCCTGAAATCTGACAATAATGCTCCTAGCAATAGACCACTACATGGTCTAAAAAATAATGGTCCAAGAAGTCACTGTGCATTTTTTATTTCTGAAAATTGAATAATGGACTTTCGTTAGATATTGTAGAAGACTTTTGCAGTGCTGATTTATTAGGCATTCCTATGATCAAATCCAGACAGGGTAACTTACTGTCAACTGGACATGGTGTTCTATTCTGGTTCCTCTTCAGACTTCTCAGTAGTGTTGCTGCGTGCTATTTTATAACAGTTGTGTTTCACCTCAGAGTTGGCAGTGTTCCACTGAGGAGTAAGCTGTTTGG